TTAAATATTTTATATTTAAATGATTTTTATATTATTATACTTACAAATATTGTGAAAAGAATAGTAAATTATTGCAGTTTTTCTTTCATTAGGAATTCAATGATATACATTCCTGAATGTACATTATTTTTGCTTCACTTGAATGCAATAATGTTCATTCCTGAGGATATACATGGGTGTGATCTAGAGTAAGAAATTCTAGGATACAAAATTGGTATAAAGTATAGTGAGAAAACCTAGTTGATGCGAGGTTAATTTTTTCCACAAGTTAATATTTACCTTCCTTCTCCGTCTAGTAAGTAGCAATAAGTTTCAATTTCTTTTTCTAAAAATATTTTGATATCGAGAAGCTGATCATACTCCAGCTTCTGGCCTTCTGTTTCCATTCGAATTTGTTGCAGTTGTTCCTCTATTGCCCCAATTTGATCCTGGATTTGCTGAAGTTGAATGCAGTAATTTCCTTCAGTCTCGGACAAGGAGCTTTCGTAGGAATGTTTCTGAAAGAACAAAGTAAGGCTTGAAAATGTCAAAGAGGAAAGACCTATTTATATTTTAAACATTCTCAAGGTGGAAAGAAATACTTGTACAAGGTCTAAACATCTTCAATTGAAAAACAACACTAGCAAGATCTAAAATAATTTTTCTCCCCATTGAAAAAAGTCATTTTTCCAAGTTTTGGGATGGGTGAGTCAGAAGTAATGTTTATGGATGGAACTCTTGAGGCTTACTAAATTCATATTTCTAGTTATATGTAATCACTTATATGCATGTTTTTATATATGTATTTACTTATACATGTGCACACACATATTCGATTCAATGGTGACTCCTCCTTACCACAGCCAGGAGGGACTGAAGTTCTATTTCGAGGGTTTGCAGGTTGCGTTTCAGTTCCGTCAGCTCACTTCTGGCTGCTGTGGCTGCTCCTTCATCGTCCGAAATCTGTTGTTGCAGCGATGCACTCTGAAGCATAATTGTCAGAAGGGTTAGTGGTCAGCTCGATCGTCTACTGAACAAGCCTGTCATGTGTCATTTGTCCCAGATTGTACCTTCTTGTTAAACCAGGCCTCAGCGTCTTTGCGGTTCTGCTCAGCCAAGTCCTCATACTCGGCCCTCATGCTGTTCAGCAGAGCAGTGAGGTCCACTCCTGGGGCTACGTTCATCTCCACGTTCACATTTCCCCCAGTTGTGCATTGCAGAACCTCCATTTCCTGGAAAAGGGATTGGTATTCATCCTCAAGGGAGGGTTTTGGTTGATATTCACATCCTGCTATGAAATAAACAGTGAACTTGAAGGAGGAAATGGGGCATTGTATTAAGCCACTCCGCAGGCTTCCTTACCTCCTTGTGATTTTTTTTGAGGTATATCAATTCCTCACTGAGAGTCTCACACTGTATCTCCAGGTCAGTTGAACAAAGGGTCAATTCATCCAACACTTTGCGGAGAACGTTGGTGTCAGCCTCAACGCTCTGGTGCAGAGCAACCTCATTTTCATACCTTAAAGGTTATTAAAATGTTTGAGAATTGCGATCAGAGGCACAGCACAACTTTTTTTTTTTTGTCCTTTTTGTGACCGGCTGCACCGCGCTCAGCCAGTGAGCGCACC